GCTTCCAACGACCGATGGGTAATCATCACCTCCTCCTCCTCCTCCTTCCTCCTCCTCCTCCTCCTCCTCCTCCTCCTCCACCTCTTCCTCCTCCTCCTCCTCCTCCTCCTCCTCCTCCTCCTCCTCCTCGTCGCCTCGCACAGCAGCCGCGGCCCGCCCTGCCCCGCCTCGCGCAGCAGGCGCCTGCCCCGCGGCCCGCCCTACCCCGCGGGCCGGCCCGCGGCGAGCGGCGCCGCCCCGCGGCGGCCCCGCGCTATGCCGCCCCCCCCCCGCTCTCGGGCCGCGGGGGCCGCGGAGGAGGAGGGGGGAAGGAGGAAGGACGCAGGGCCCGAGGAGGCAGGGAGGAGGAGGAGGAGGAGGAGGAGGAGGAGGACGAGGAGGAGGAGGAGGAGGAGGAGAAAGGAAGGAGGCAGGGAGGAGGGAGGGGGAGGGAGGAGGGAGGAGGAGGAACAGGAAGAGGAGGAGGAGGAGGAGGAGGAGGAGGAGCAAGAGGAGGAGGACAGGCTGGCTGGTTTGGCCCTTTGGGCGGCGTTCGCATCCTCGGGCACGGATGCTTTTAGTGGGCCTGACTGGGCAGGAGTAAGCCTCCCGCGACGGAGCATCCCCACACCGACCACAACGCCTCCAGGCGGGCAAATCCATGGCCACCTCAGGTGCATGGGAAGCCGGCGATGGAGGGACGGGACAGCGACCGTCAGGGGTGGGATGGGTCGGCAGAGAGTCCGCATCTCAACTGTCGGGGGCTTCGCCCTGTTCCCCCGCAGTCAAAACAGCGCGCGCGAAGCACCCTTGCAGCCAGGCCCATTGGGCTGAGGAGGAGGCCAGGGAGGAGGAGGCGGAGGAGGAGGAGGAGGGGAAGAAAGAGGGACTGAGGAAGGAGGAGCAGAAAGGAGGACAGAGGATAGTTGATGATGAGGAGGAGAGAAGGGGATGATAAGGATACTGGGGATGATTAGGATGGCGATCAGGATGATAGTGAGGATGAGGATGAGGATGAGGATGGTGATGCTGGTGGTGATGATGTTGATGATGCTAATGATGATGCTGCTGCTGCTGCTGCTGATGATGATGATGATGATGATGATGAGGATGAGGATGAGGATGAGGATGATATGCTGCTGCTGATGATACTGATGGTACTGACGATGGCGACGTCGGCGATGCATCGGCGACGTCGGCGTGGAGAGAAGCGGACACCACATCGAGCCGCATCGGCGATGCATCGGCGATGCGGCGCGATCCTCCGACCCCACCTACTCCGACCCCATCAAGGAGACCCCCAGAGCAACGTGCGGCGTGGAGGCAACAACTACAAAGCATGCGTCCGGGACCTGGCGTTGCTTCATCGGGAGGCCCCAGGCCCCCTCGCGTCGCGAACAAGCAGATCGTGATCCGAAAGGTTCGGCCTCTGGGGGCCCTGTATCGGGCCTCGGGATTGTCAAGAAACCGCTCGGGATGAAGAACTGGTCCCGGGGAACGGGTCCAGACCTCTGAGGATCGACGTTGTGAAAAAAGTCACGACGCGGGGGACCTGGGGCGATAACCACGAGGGGGGGGGGAACTCGCACCTTTCGTGTTCCTGTCCTTTGGGCCCCAGGGGGCTCCGTTGGGGCCCCTACAGGTGCGCAAGAGGCCGTGCACCTTCCTTCCCGGAGATGCGACGTGGCAGTAAAATTGCAGCATCAGAAAAGATCACTCCCCGAGCCTCGGACCGCATCATCTTCCTGCGCCATTTTTCGAGCCGGATCGATATGTGAGGGTCCCTGGGCCCGGAATGGAGCTAACACAAAACCGTGTTGTGAAACAATTGCAACTCCAGGATCTCAAGGAATTCCTTCCCCGCCTCCCGCGCATCGCCTCCCACTATACGCAGCGCCCGACACGACTGGGACACAGTCGGACTGGGACATAGCGGGGATCTCTGAGACAGGGCTGCACCTAAGAGGGGTGTTTTTCGTTTTCGCTTTGTTTCCCCATATCCTAAGATGGGGTTCTTGTTATTATTTGGACGCCTCCTACTCCTTCTTCTCTCTCTTCTCCTTCTCCTCCTCCTCATACCCAGACTTGCTCACACTCAGATTTAGTTATACCCAGACTTACTCAGACACATACTTACTCATACTCAGACCTACTCCTACTCAGAGTTACTCATGCTGAGACTCACTCATGCCCAGACTAACTAATACTCAGACTTGTTCCCAGACTTACTCATACTCAGACCTGCTCGTACTCAGACCTTTTCAGTGTCTGATTTCTTCCACACACACACACAGCAGGTTGTGAGGATGTCTCAGGCGGGGCGCTGGCTTCAGCCCCCCTAAGGGGAGCCGCCAGAAGTGTTTTCACGGTCCCGTTCGCAGCAATTGTTTTGCGGATGTCTCAAGCGGTTTGCTTGTTTTCTGTCCCAGCATCCTTGGCTACCAGAGCAGATTGTGAGCATGTCTCAGGCGGGGCGCTGGTTTCAGCATCCCTAAGGGGGCCGCCAGGGGTGTTTTCACGGTCCCGTTCGCGGCCGTTTTGTGGGGATGTCTCAAGCGGTTTGCCTGTTTTCTGTCCCAGCATCCTTGGCTACCAGAGCAGATTGTGAGCATGTCTCAGGCGGGGCGCTGGTTTCAGCTCCCCCTGAGGGGAGCTGCCAAGGGTGTTTTCACGGTCCCGTTCGCGGCCGTTTTGTGGGGATGTCTCAACAGTTTGCCTGTTTTCTGTCCCAACACCCATCGCTTCCGGAGCAGATAATATCTGCTATTGTCCTCCATAATGGAGGATGTCTCGAGCGAGGCGCTCATTTTCACCCCCCAGGTGGGCCAGATTTTGAAGATGTCTCGATCGGTGGCCAGACTCGTGGGCACAGATTCTCGTCAGGATGCCATAGGAGGCTCCAACAGGCTACAGGAGGCCCCAGGAGACCAACCACATGAGGTCCCAGGAGGCATCAGGAGGCCACAGAAAAACTCAAGAGGCCACAGGATGTCCCAAGAGGCTCTAGGAGGCCCCAGGAAGCTCCGGGAGGCCTCAGGAAGCCACAGGAGGCCCCAGGAGGCCTGAGAAAGCGCCAGGAGGCCTCGGAAGGCAACAGGAGGCCCCGAGAGGCCCCAGGAGCAGGAGGCCTCAGAAGGCAACAGGAGTTGCTCCAATCCCATGTGTTTGACGTATGCTCCTATAGATTGGGCCTCACCTGGAGCACGAATCCTTGATGCTATACTATGTTTCTATAGATTGTCCTTCTCCTATAGGGCCTCTCCTGGGGCCTCTCCTGGGCACGAGTCCTTCGTGTTTTACGTGTGTTCCTATAGATTGCCCCCTTCTCCTGCGGCTCCAATCCGCAATGTTTTATGTACGTCTGTTGCTATAGATTGGGCCTCTCCGGAGGCACGAATCCTCCCTAGGAGGTCCCAGGAGGCCCCAGGAGGCCCCAAGAGGCTCCTGGAGGCCCCAGGAAGCCCCAGTAGGTTTCAGGAGGCCCCAGGAGGCCCCAGGAGGACCCAGGCTCATACGCAGAGACGCGCTCGTACTAGTGAGACTAATTCACACTCCAATTCATTCTCAGTTAGATTCATGACCAGACCGTCACAACTGAAGCCCGTCTATATTCGAAAGCTCTTGCCCATAGACATTCACGGCGGACAGGTCCATCCGAATAGATGCACATACGCGGAGCTCCACGCAGAGAATCATCGTTTGCCCTCGCCTTTGTCTCGAATCCGCCTCTCCCGCAGAACGAAGGCGAAACGAAAACGGCCCACGAAAGCACCAGGGCCACCGTTCAGGTCCAGCCCCTGCTCTGAGATCCGGCGGATCAGGAGATTCACTGCGTCCGGCGCCGCGGCCGTCCCAGAGTGCTCTGGAGCGCTCGGAGCCAGACTAATGAAGGGGCCTTGGAACACACAAATAAATACACACAAATAAAAAGATTCCACATGTTTTCCTATATTTTCTGGGTTTTTGTGTTCCCCCCACTTCCCATATTTCCCAATATTTTCTGGGGAGTGGACGATTAATTGTGTCTGTGTTTTTCCCCTTCTGACCTAAGGTCGGGCGTGTCCCCCTACAGGCGGCTTCTGGACGAAAAATGCAAGATACAAGACGCATGCTCAACCATTCACAAAACGAATCGAAGCATCGTCCCTCGACGATGATGCCCAACCATTAATTAACATAACTAATCGAAGCATCCTCCCCCGACTAAGATTTTGTCTACCATTTTGGGATGCCCCTCCTGCACCCGTGGAGGCACGGGCCCGACTTCACGCTAGCCCCGCCCGGCCACGTCTTCCCCTCTGCGTGCCCCCCCCCCCCCGCTTTCCGGCGTGGCGGCCGCGCGCGGCGGCGCGGCGCACAGACAGCCGAGTGGGAGGGAACGCGCGGCCGGGCCAGCTCGCGCGGCGCAGAGGCCCAAGGATCCGCACATGGGGGATCTACCGGGTCGCTCGCGCAGAGTCCCCCCCCCCGCACACACTTTTTTGCGCCGGCGGCTGGGCGGAGGTCACTGCTCAGGCGATCTGGCACCAGCAAGGCACGCTAGCTGCATATTGGGGCCTCTGCGCACGAGCGATGGAGGAATAATCCTGTGGCCCCCCCCCCCACACACGTCCATCCGGACGTGCAGCAGCTACCCAGACCCCCGACGTCACGACTGTATCAAAACGTCCACTCCCCGAGCTCTGGGCCCCCCCCCCGGACCGGCTCTTCCTCCTGAGCCGTATAGGTTGACAGTCCCGGGGCCGGGTCCCCCCAAATGCCGAAGACAGCGAAGAACCTCCGGTCACGACTTTCTCCTTTCGCCACGCGACGGGGCCGGGTAGGAGCTGCCAGGGAGAGGGGCGGTGGTGGTGGGCACAGGCGTGAACGCAGCTGCGTATGCCGAGAGTCAAACCGCGACGCGCCCCTGCGTCGAGGCAGAAGGCGCCCTCTTCGAGGCCAGGGCGAGGGGCGGAGGGAGGGCGGACGCGTCGGCGAGGGCGGAAGGAGCGGGGCGCCCCGCCGCGCGGGGCCGCGGGCGCCTGCACAGCTCCGCCGCGGGGTCCGGCCCGCCCTCGCGGTAGCCGCCCCACGGTCTGAACTTGTGGCCCCCGTCCAAGCTGAGGCGGGCCGGCGGCTACCACGACGACCACCTACGACGACCGTGGCGACGACGACCGCGATCACGACGACCGCGATCACGCCGACCGCGATCAAGCCGACCGCGATCACGCCGACCGCGATCAGGCCGACCACAACCACGCCGACCACGATCACGACGACCACGGAGACGACTACGACCTTGTTGGGACTCTGGTGGGTGGGCCCGTGTCGGGTCCCATGGGGGCCGTCGGGGGTCGACTCGGGGTGCAAGGCTAGAGGCCTCCTAGATAGGGTCCGAGTAGGCGGGGTCGACGGATTTCATCGCAGCGTCATTGCATCAGCGATGCATCGCCGACGTCGGCGATGCATCGGCGCCGTCGGCGTGAAGAAAGTCAGGTTCCGCATCGCGCCGCATCGCCGATGCATCGGCGATGCGGCGTGATCTGCCGACCCAACCAACTCTGACCCCATCTGGGAGGCCTACAAGCAACCCGTGCCATACAGACGCAGGATAAGGATGCAAGGGCCTTGGAAGACCGTGCCGGCACTTCGCGGGCGGGGCGCGGCCAGCCGAAGCTGCCAAAGATGGACCGAGGAGGTCACGCGCACGCACGCACGCACGAGCCATACGCCGTCCGGCGCGTGGGCGGGAAAACAAGCACAGCACAGTCTGTGCAGCAAGGGAGAAGAGAAGGAGGATGAGGAGGAGGAGGAGGCCACGGAGGAGGAGGCGGAGGAGACAGAAAACAAACATGCATGCAAAGAGAAGGCAAACAACGGCCTGCCGGGGCTCACGGGCATGAGTTCTTATATGTTGAGGAAAATGTTGCCCAAGCTTGTTCATCCGAGATGGCTTCGGGTAGGTGTTGTTCGGATGGGAAGCAGACTTTCACCTTGTCGTACAAGCGCTTCACCCATGCATTTCGCGGCCTTTCAGAGACCGTTTGGCTTTGCTTGTTGCCGGGCGGGCGCTGTTAGCCATGAAAGTGAGCTGCCTCAGCGCATCAGCCTCGCTGCTGCGACATACTTTTCCGAACCACGCCAATTGGTTGACCAATAACTGTGATGCGTACGGTGTTTGGCCAGATCTTTCCAATGCGGTGTTGTTTTGGAACTCTTGAAATATACGGGTGTGTGATGCCCAAAAATTAACGAAGACACTGGGCTCGGAAACCGTCCTGCCTGCTTCTGTCGCCTTTGTTCAGTCAGGCACTGCTCAGCGAGTACATTACTTTAGTTGTGATGAGAGCTGCAACCACTTCCTATTTACGCCTCAGACTGGTGGATGCATGCTTCCACGCCTGCGTATACCTTTGGAATTCCCCCCATGCGGCACCCAACCTCCTGCCCGAGTCCTCCTTTACATTTCCACTCTCGTAGAATGTCGCCCCCAATTACTGCATCTGCGTGATGGGAGTAATGAGCTTGCCGGAAGGATCTGCAATACGCAAATCACTTTTTATTTGCAACCACCGAGATTTGTCCCACTGCAACTCTATACCCATGTTCGCGCCAGCGCGCGCAATTGAATCCAGGAGTTGTTGCAGATGCTGCTCGTTGCGCCCGACTAAAACTACGTCGTCTGCGTATAAAACTACCGAGGGGCTTCCGGACAACAGTGCTTGGGCCACGTCGTCCTGCAGGTACGTCTCCGCGTCTTTGACAAGCACTGTCATAACAATCACAAACAGAAACAGCGAGAGTGGGCAACCTTGTGAGATACCTGACAGCTGTCCCTGTTCTTCTGACCTCCAGGGCCCGTCTGCCACGCAGAAGCGGCGGGAGCCGTCGAGATCCCCAATAATTTCAAGCATGTGCGGGGGCACACCAAATGCAGCAAGTGCTTCGAGAAGGGCTTCCACGTTGATAGAGTCAAAAGCCTTTTTCCAATCTAGCGCCAGTAGGGCCACACCACCATCTCGAGCGGCATGTTCTAGTTCGATGTGACGGCAGGCTGCATGGACGGCGTCAGTGGTGCCTTTCCTCCGTCTGAATCCATACTGTGTCCCGCTCAGTCTACCCTCCGCCCCTGCTTGCTGCAATCTCCGCAACAATGAACTTGCAAATGATTTGTACATTACGCAATGCAAACTAATAGGACGATAGTTGACGCACTGATCCACTGGGCCTTCGTTGTTGTAGATTGTGGCAATGACTGCGTGCCGCCAATATTCGGGGACATCTTTCTCGCGCCAGCACTGGTTGATCAGCTTCGTCATGGTGTCCAGCCCTCTGGGGTCATGTGCCAACGCCTTCCAGCACTCCGCTGGGATATCGTCCGGCCTGGCGCCTTTCCTTGCTGTAGTTTGGAAATCACCACGCCCACCTCGCGTACTGTGAAGTGGCCCACTGTGATCGGTAATAATGGTCCCAAGGGTTGACGTGCAATAGATGTCGCTGGGCGCGTTTTCCTTTGTATCTTCTCGAAATACTCTGCCATTGTATTTGCCCTGTCCGTGCTGTCGACGAGTTCGCCGTCCAAATTTCTGAGCCTTCCTTGTTTGTGCGGCTTTGGCCGGCATGCACATTGAAGCGAACCCCAATCTCCACCAGCAATTTGATGATCCAACCATGCAGTTTTATCAAGTTTGACGGACTTCCGTACAGCTTTGAATAATGTCTGTTCCTCCTCCCAGTTGTTGTTCGATCGTGCCGCGCTTCGTTGTGCTATCAAATCCAAGGTTCGGCTTGTGATCCATGGTTTTTGTGTCTTGGCCTCCCGGCGCGGCAAGGCCATCTGAGCCTGGGCGATCGCATTCTTCATGTTCTCCCACGTCTGCTATGCATTACCTGCAGCGGTACCGTGGGCGTTGAAGATGTTAATGAAAGACTCTCGCACTGTATTGTCGCGAATCGCCGTCCTGTCGAATTCGTTGTTTTGTTGATGGCTGGCCGCCGGTGTCTCGAGTCCCAGGGGACACGTCACCAAATAATGGTCCGTTGCCAACGCCGCTTCCCGATGACTAGCGACCAATAACTCGGATCGGCGATCGAAATGCATCAGATCGGCGGAAAGCGGCAGCCGAGCAGGGAAAAGTCGAATCGGCGGACACATCGGCAGGCGAGTATGCCTCCGTTGGGGAAGCGGCATCCACATCGGAATCCGAAGCCGAATCGGATCGGATTCGGAGGCCACCGAAATCGAATCGAATCGCCTTGGAGTAACCGACATGCGCCCTGGTCGACTGCAGAGTAGCTTTAGGTCGGGCCTGTCCCCCTACAGGCGGAGTTTGGACGAAAAATAAAACAGACGCAAAACATATTCAACAATAGTCAAACATAGTCGAGCACATCGTCCCCGGCCTTTTTTCACTACTTTTGAAAATTCCTCCTGTAGAAGGACATATATCCTTTCCACTCTCCCCCCTCCTCTCCTCTTGACTGGCGTCACCAACGGTATCGGCGGGGAAACGGCCACCAACATCATTCTCATATGCTTCACTTCAGCTATCACCACTCCAGCCATAATATAAGTATGTGGGGGTTCCTCGGTAGCTTAATTTTGAAGATGCCTTCTGTAGAAGGACATGCCCGACTCCAGAGCAGCTGGCCGGGACGCACCCCCAGAGTTGAGCAGGGACCGACCGTCCTGGCATTCCTGTAGGCCTACCACGACATGTTCCCAGAGCCCGAACCACGTTCCACGAGCAAGAGCAGGGCTCTCAGAACAGAAGCCCGAGGTGCTGAAGCAGGAAGACAGTCCTCGCCAGAGATGCTCTGAGAGCACCTCGTGGCAGCCACAAGCGGCTCTTAGAACATTGCTTGGCAGGCCTGCAGGCACGCTCGCGCGGGCCGCCGCGAGGCAGGAGGAGGGGGAGGAGGAGGAGGAGGAGGAGGAGGAGGAGGAGGAGGAGGAGGAGGAGGAGGAGGAGGAGGAGGAGCGAGGAGGAGCGAGGGCCCGCCTCTCGGACGCCAAGGCGGGGCCCGCCGAGGGCGGCGGGCGACGCCGCCGCCGCCGCCCCGGCCGCTCTGCGACGCGTCGGGCCGCCGCCGCCGACGGCGCCGAGGCCTTTGCTGTCGTCGTCGGCGTCGTCGGTTCCGAGGCCTCGGGTTCTGTTGCTCCCATCGTGCTCGGATATCCTGGCCTTGCACTAACGAGAACGAGGGTGTTTGGCTCCATTTCGGGCCCCGGGACCCTCACAGATCGATCAGGCTCGAAAAATGACGCAGAAAGATGCAGTCCGGGGCTCTGGGCGTGATTTTTGTTGCAGTGTTGCATTTTTTTTGGCAAGGTCGGATCTCAGGGTACTTGAGGACTACATCCCAGAAACAATCTCGAGCACCCGGAAAAGTATCGAAACAGTGTCGAAACAGTATCGGACGAGTGTCTCCCAGGGCGCGACACGTGAAAACCCTCGAGATTCGATAATTGTTTGGAGCTCGAAATTCCTTCTGGTGGTCAAGGCTAAGTCTAGCTTGGAACATCATAAGCCTCGGGGCGCTGGAGGTTCTCGTCGCAACGTCGGGGAGGCAGCGACGGGACGACGAGCAGGATCCAGGATCGAGTATTATCGAGGGTACTCTTTGGCTTTTTGGGGGGCCAACTTTGCCGCTGGGGGCCTCCAGCGGCGAGATGAAGAGGAGCAGAAGGGCGACAACATCGATGACAATGACAACGACGACGACGACGCCGACGACGACGACGGCGACGACAATGACGACGACGGCGAAGGCGACGGCGACGGATGGGAAAATCCAATTCATCGGATGTCGGGTCAGGGGCGGAAGGGGCAAGGAGGCGGATGAGGAGGTGGAGGAAGATTCTGCGTAGAGTGATTCTGCGTCTCCTCCTCCTCCTCATCCTCCCTCCCTCCCTCCCTCCCTCCTCCCTCCCCCCCTCACTCTCTCCTATAAACCCTCCTCCCTCCTCCCCCTCCGCATCCGCCGCCTCCTCCTCCTCCTCCTCCTCCTCCTCCTCCTCATCCTCCCTCCCTCCCTCCTCCTCCTACTCCTGGCTCCTGGCCCCTCCCACCTGACGCGGATGGCGCTCTCAAGCCCATGCCGTTTTCAGTGCGCGTGCCAACGTTTCGGTCCTGCCAGGGCTCGTTCGAAAAAGCACGCGGATGGCTAATACTACGCGCAATGGCACGAGCATGCAACATACTCCAAGACCAGAGGCCGTCCATGGCGACACGACATCCGAAAACCAACCGAACCGATAGCGAAGCAAACACCGACCAAAACTAGACATACCGACAACGGCCAAAAGAGAGGCAACGACGCGGTAACGACGCCGCAACCGACCGAACGCACCGCAACCGATCCGACCGAACCTCGGACACCCTTGCCTGACAGATAGGCAGTCAGATGCCATGCGCCAGCCGAAGGCACGGCGCCTTGACAAAACGATGCGGACACGCCACACACGTGCAGAGGAGGAGTAAGGACATGCCAAAGTCATGATATGTTCGAGGCGCGCCAAACAGGTGCAGGGAGAAGGGGGAGGAGAGGAGAACGACGACGAAAGATAATGAAGATGTGCCTCAGAATGCATCCAAACATGCATTGTCTAACTCGTCATGCTTTGCCGTAGTAGCTCGCGCATGCACTCTGTCCAATGCCATTTCGGATGGCCCGGCTTCCTTACAGAGCGCCACTTCCTGGGGATGCCCCCACCGGGCTCGCAAACAAGAGCTTTGACAAAGCCATCACCTGCTGTACGGTTCACATGTGCTCGAGCTTGTCTATTTTGCAACGGATCGCTGCGAGGCGCTGCCCGTGCTTAAAACAGATAACTGTTGCGCAACGCACTCGGGAAAGAGACGCGTGCAGCAGCTTCAAAACTCTGCGTGGGCTGGTCGCTTGGAAACTGTCCAGGCGTCTTCGGCCCGCTTGCAGTAGCCACAATGCTTCCGAACGCCCGGGGCGCCATTGCCTGCCTCCCCCGAGCAGCCCTCCGAACGCCCCGAGCTAAGACCCTCCGGGCTCCGCCTCCGACGACAGCGACGCTGGCGAAGGCGGCGGGGCCCATGGGCGGCCCAAGAGAGCAAGTGATCCTCCTCCTCCTCCTCCTCCTCCTCCTCCTCCTCCTCGTCCTCGTCGTCCTCCTCCTCCTCCTCCTCCTCCGGACACAAAGGGGGGGAGCGCCGATCGTCGCCCCTTGGCCGCTCTGTCCTCGATCCTCGGGCCTCGACCATCCTCCTCTTCCTCGTCCTCCTCCTTGTTCTCATCCTCCTCCTCTCATCCTGCTTCTCCGCCTGCTCCTCTTCTCATCCTGCTCCCTCTCTCCTCCCCTCCTCTACTCCTCATGCTCGTCTCCTCGTCTCCTCGTCTTCTCCTCTTCCTTCTCCTCCGCGTGTGACGCCGACGACGGCTGTGCTGGCGGCAACAACGAAGGTGCCGAGGCCCACCAGCAACGACGACGACGACGACGTACATCCCCAGGACGAAAGTTTTTTCCTCTTGGGCCTGGAACGACGGTGTGAAGTCTTGAGCAGACCCGTGCGAGATAACCACCGTCGGATCCCATGAAACTCGCGCGGATCCAAATGTGGTTTTGGTGTTTGTTTCGGTGGATCCGATGTCCGTCCCTATGGATCCGATTTCGGATTAGCTGGATCCGTGTCCGTTTGTTTTTTCGGACAACGGATCAGATTTCTACCCTGCTTTTACTGTTTAGTTGTAAATTAAAACAGGGGGCCGGACGACATCGGATCCACGGGCCCCGCAAACCGCCCGTGTGAATATTCTATGGGGGAGGGGGGTTCGGACAAATCAACTTTCCACGATGGGCCCTGCGTCGTCTCGCGCAGTCCCATCAACTCCCCGCGCGAGCGGGCCCCATTCAACATGAATACATACATCCTTCTCCCCCCGTTGCTGCACCGACGCTGTCTCGCGAACTCTTCATAGCCATGTTCACCCCAAGAGGAAAATCTTTCGTCCTGCGTAAGTGCGGTTCGGCCCTGCGTCTCCTCACCCAAAGGACTGCCTGTGAAATGTGGTGTGTCGGCTGCGTGGTTACCAACAACGGACTGCCTGCGAGATGTGGTGTGTCGGCGGTGCGGTACCCAAAAAATCCGAAGGCCAAAACGCCCATGCGTTTCGGCCTTGCGTCTCCTCACCCAACGGACTGCCTGTGAGATGTGGTGTGTCGGCTACAAGGTAACCAACGAGTCCGAAGGCCAAAACGCCAGTGCGTTTCGGCCTTGCGTCTCCTCACCCAACGGACTGCCTATGAGATGTGGTGTGTCGGCTGTGTGGTTACCGACGAGTCCGAAGGCCAAAACGCCAATGCGTTTCGGCCCTGCGTCTCCTCACCCAAAAGACTGCCTGTGAGATGTGGTGTGTCGACTCTGTGGTTACCAACAACGGACTGCCTGTGAGATGTGGTGTGTCGGCTGTGTGGTACCCAAAAGATCCGAAGGCCAAAACGCCCATGCGTTTCGGCCCTGCGTCTCCTCACCCAACGGATTGCCTGTGAGATGTGGTGTGTCGGCTAGATGGTGACCGACGAGTCCAAAGGTCAAAACGCCAGTGCGTTTCGGCCTTGCGTCTCCTCACCCAACGGACTGCCAATGAGATGTGGTGTGTCGGCTGTGTGGTTACCGACGAGTCCGAAGGCCCAAACGCCCATCCGAAGGTTGTTCTTCTTGTGCCGGGAACGACGGTGTGAAGTCTTGAGCAGGCCCGTACGAGATAACCACAGTCGGAACACATGAAAGTCGCGCGGGTCCAAATGTGGTTTTGGTGTTTGTTTCCGTCCCTACGGATTCGATTTCGGATTAGCTGGATCCGTCCCCGCTCTCATTTGTAACGGCGGATCAGATTCCTACCCTGGTTTAAATTTATATGAATAAATCAACACAAGGGGGCCGGAAAAAATCGGATCCGCGGACCCCGCAAACCGCCCGCGTTAAGATTCGATGGTGGAGGGGGGTCGGACAAATCAACTTTCCACGATGAGCCCTGCGTCGTCTCGCGCAGTCCCATCAACTCCCCGCGCGAGCGGGCCCCATTCAACATGAATACATACATCCTTCTCCCCCCGGTTGCTGCAAAGAGCTCGTCCGGTCGCCGTCCGTTCGGCGGCGCCGACGTTGTCTCGCGAACTCCTCATAGCCATGTTCACCCCAAGAGGAAAATCCTTCGTCCTGCGTAAGCATGCGGCGGCGATGGCGGCGAGGGCGACGACGACTACGACGACGGCGACGAGGGCGACGAGGGCGACGACGACGACGGCGGCGGCCTGGTCTCGCTGTCGATGTAGTTGACGAGGCAGACGTGCTTGGAGCCGGCCCCTTCCCGCACCGCGAGGTGCTGGAGCGCCTGGACCCATGGCCTGCCGTCGCCGTCGCGGTCGCCGCTGCCGAAGGGCGCAGTCCAGCGGGACGCACAGGGACATACCAGCACTGCATGTGCTCTTTGGAGGCGCGCGTCCGACCGAAACATGTAGTATACGCATCTTGTAGTATATCGTTTCCCGAGCGGCGTGGCCAGAAAACGCCCGCCACGGCGCATATACTAGAAGATTTCTGGGTGCGCGCGTCGCCACTGGGGGGGGCGACGCACATACAATACAAGTGTGTGACGCCGATCCAGGGTCGAAATTCAGGATCAACGCTTCTGGTCAGTCGCTTGTTTTTTTTTGTGGAGGGGGGCCCTTCGGCGCCGCGGGGTGGAGCTTCGTCTCGAGATTCTGGGCAGAGCGCGGTCTGCGAGGGATCCAAGGGTTAGGTCGGGCATGTCCTCCTACAGGCGGATTTTGGACGAAACATGAAAAAATACGCCCATAAGATTCAAGAAGGGCAAGCAAATTCTCAAAAAACCGTCCCCCTATTATTTCCCAACTATTTTGGAAGATCCCTCCTGTGGAGGGACAGGCCCGACTTCATCCGAGGGTCGCTGGTCGTCGCTTCTGCCGCCGAACGACGACGACGCCCTCGCTTCGCGGGGCCCCATGGGCGTTTTTCTCGGGGCTCTCGTCGCCACGGGCTGGAGGCCGTCTGACGAACGGGCAAGACTGAAGTCCGTGCGGGGTCCGGGGACCGCTTGCGACACCGTCGTCGTGTCAGCGTCGTCGCCGTCGTCGAAAGTCAATACAAGCGCGATTCTTGATTTTCGGCGATCATGGGCATCATAGGGGGCGGAGGGGCCAGGGGAGGGGTATACTGTAACGCATCCCCCCCGCCGTGCGCACGGCGGCAGTGCCCGAAGCGCACTGGGGGGGAGAGCATGCGATCCCATGTCTTTCCGCAGTTCAAAAGATTCGAAACGTTCCAAATCGTCGAAACATGTCGACGTGGTCACGCCGGTGAGACACACGTGGGACTTGCAATACAGTGCTGGCTGGATTGCCCAGCGCCCCGTGGCGACAGTATAGGTTGCCACATTGTTCCTTCGTTTCTCCGACTCCTTCGTCCCCGCTCTTCCTCCCCTGCGAAGGGGAGAACAAGGGGATCACACGAGAAGGCCTGCAGGACAAATCCTCGTGCTCGGCGCCCGCGGGCAAACGTCCTTTTCTTCCTCCTCTGTCATCTGACCGTCCTCCTCCTCCCTCCTCCGCCCTCATACCTTATCATCCTCATGCTCCTCGTCGTTTTGATCCTCCTTCTCGTCCTGATCGTATTCGTCCCGATTATCCTCATTTTCCTTATTATCATGATTCTTATTATCAACCTGATCGTTGATATCAGGAATCCCACCTCCTCCTCATCTTGATCCTCCTCATCTTCATCCTCCTAATCCTGAGCCTCCTCATCCTGATCCTCCTCCTCGTCCTCCTGTTGCTGAGTCCTCTCCTCCACATCCCCCATGATCATCCTCATCCTGATCCTCATCCTCCTGATTATCCTCATCCTGCTCCTCCTGATCCTCGTGATCCCCCTTCTCCTCATACTGCTCCTCATCATCCTGATCCTCCTCACTTCGACCGTCCTCCTGATCCGCCTCACCATGATCCTCCTCATGATGGTCATCCTCTTGTTCCTCCTCCTACCTACCCCCCCATGCGGATCCTCATCGTCATCATAAGCAGCAGCATCATCACCACACTCACCACTACCATCATCGTCATCATCATCAGCATCATCATCACCACCGTCATCATCATAAACAGCATCACCTTCATAATCAGCACCATCATCAGCATCACCACTATCTTCATCATCATCAGCATCATCATCATCACCAACATTGTCAGCATAACCATCGCCATCGTCATGACCAGTCGCAACATCATCATCACCATTATCATGGTCACCATCATCAACATCAAATCAGCATCATAATCCGCAGCATCAGCACAAGCCTCAACAGCATCATCCACATCATCACCACCGTGACTATCACCATGCGTATCATGATCGGCGTCATCAACGCCATCATCATCAACACTGTCATCATCATGGCCATCTTCATCATCATCATCATCATCACCATCGTCACCATGATCATCGTCAGCACCGTCATCATCACCATCATCGTCCTCAGCCTCATCATCGTCATCAGCAATAACATCATCATCAACATCATCATCAACATCATCAGCATCATCATAACAATCATCAGCATCAGCATCAGCATCATCACCATCATCACCAGCACCAGCACCATACTCAGCACCCACATCATCGTCAACATCCTAAGCATCATCGTCACCATCATCATCGCCATCACCAGCCTCAGCATCAGCATCACCCTCATCATCATGATCAGCATCCCCTCTTCATCCTCATCCTCATCCTCCTGATCCTCCT